GTGTTCCAGATCTCTCCACGCCTCAAGGGCTACAGTTCAAGACTATCACAGAAACCACCGTGGAGGTGCAGTGGGAGCCCTTTTCATTCTCCTTCGATGGGTGGGAGATCAGCTTCATTCCAAAGGTAACACCCACCTGCCGAACTGCTAAATGGCCTTCTGGGAGTATTCATAGCCTCAACTTAGAATTAGGAGCGGGAAGGAAGGCGCTATCTAATGGCTCCCTTTATTCCATTAAGGAAGGAGCCACGGTGGCACAACAGTTAAGTGCTCAGCTGCTGATAGGTTGGTGGTTCAAACTCAACCAGTGGCTGCTCCAGAAAAAGACCTGGTGATCTGCTCCCATAAAAATTACAGCCTGGAAAACACTATGGGACAGTTCTACTCTGTTACATGGGGTTGCTGTAAGTAGAAAATTGACTCTATGGCACCCAACAACAATTCCATTAAGGATGCAAAATGGCATTTGGGGGGGTGCCTAAGCTATAGAACATTTTTTTTCCCAAAGGTGTGCTGACGACTGACTAATAAGAGCAACCCCAAGCCTAGCACCCTGGTCTTGAATAGCAGGAGGATTTAGGAAGCTGCTGCCAGCTCAGCTCTCTGCTCAGAAAGCTCTAGGGTTTGACTATCTGTGATTTTAGCCAGTCTGAAAACCAGACTCTCCAAAAGTTGAGGCTTATCTTTAGGATATTAGAAAAGCCAAACTGAATTAGCCACGTAGCCCACAGGCTCATTCTGTTATAGACAGTTGCCCTAAAAGTCAGCTTGCATGGCTTCAATCTCTAAAGGTTAGATACGTAATACAAAGCACCTTGGTTTCCCTGAAGTTTTTCCTAATGAATTTATAACCTATGAATTGAGCAAAATTCTCTTTAAACAAATTAAACTGTCAGTCTTTGAGTTAAAAAGTATCTTAAGATTCCTTTCCACTCTTTAAGGAAGTATTTTATTTTATTAATCCTAAAACTAACATTTCCAAGTTGCCAGAGGTACCTGCCCAGGCTAATTTGTTGACCTTACCCATGTTCTCCCTAACTGTACCATTCATGAAGGTGTAAAGTTCAGTCATACTCCTTGCCTCTGTCTTCATCCTTCGGTATCAAAGAGCTTTTTTTTTTTTTTTTCAGTCATTTGTCAGACTGAAGTCATTTTTAATGACAGATGACATATTTTTGGCCAACAGGATTGTGATTTCACCATTCTTTCACTTCAAAATTCTTAGAGCCATGGGCTGTTGGAGCTACAAAAGACCTTCAAGTTCACAGAGTACAACGTCTCATTTTACGTCTAGTTTAGTTTAGTTTACATAAGCTAAGAGCCACGTAACTTAAATGGCATCACACAGCTAAAGGTGAGAGTCCAGCTCTCTACTTCCTAGTCCAGGGCTCTGTCCGCGAAACCAGGGGTTGCCCCACTCTCGTATGTGTATGTAGTCGTGTCATGATAAGCTAAATACATGTAAACAGACATTCTATAAAAATGTTTTATAATGTGGTTTGTTGTTGTTAGTTGCCGTTGAGTCAATTCTGACTCACGGAGACCCCATGTATGCAGAGTAGAACAGCTCCATAGAGTTTTCAAGCCTGTGACCTTTTGGAAGCAGATTGCCAGGTATGTCTTCCAAGGAGCCTCTGGGTCGGTTCAAACTGCCGACTTTTTGGTTGGTGGTTGAGTGCTTAACTGTTTGTACCAGCCAGTGTCTCCCATACTTATCTTAGTTGAAATGGCCAATAAAGTATGACAGGCAACTAGGTTTGTAACAGGACAGAAAGAACCATGTAACCTACTGCTCAGTCAGAAAAAAAATGATGCCAGGTTTGCCTGTTTTACATCTAATATGTAAAACTGAATAAGAGATGGGATGGCCAGGGTAGGCCAAGGTCAAACACATAGCCACATGGAGTAAAAGTTCTTGATCAGTAGGTTGAGTCACTGGGGAACATGGATCAGACTGATTCATAATAGTCTGACTATAAATTACATACAGGGCACTTTGGATGACATGAACAGAGACCAGAGAACAGGGGAGAAGGGTATGCCAGCAAAAGCCCCCTCATGTCTCTTCCATTTCCAGGGCTACCCATAGAAAATATTAACCTGGACCCAACATCATCAAGATGATCTTTCTCCTTTTCTTTCCTGCTACCAGTGCTTTTCCTTTCTCTCTCCTTTGTGTGATTCTTTGGTCCCTGCTCCCTTCTTCTTCTCGTTGTACTTCATAGTCAATGTGTCACTGAGCTGTAATTTATCTGGGTTAAGGGGAAACAAAATATTGACAGATTTGCACCCAAGGTAAGATCACGAGAAACCCCAGATAGCAAAATAACAGCTCCAACTCATAAAAAACTGGGAATGTCTTAGTTTAAAACATGTTGCATGTGTATATAAAGATGTTTACACACATACAAACACAACTCTACTCTTCTAAATCGCCAAGGGCATACTCCTCAAGAAAAATGCCAACAAAAGTCTGATGGATGTTAACCATAACCATCAAACATTTAATCTTTGGCAGGAAACAATCTGCATCACCTCGTGACTAATTTTTATTGGCAACCTCAACAAAGTCAGGAAAGGCCAAAGAAATGTTCTTGAAAATTTGTTCTCTATTTGCCAAATCCTCATAAATGGTGGAAATCTTATTGCACTTTTTGGGAGTTGTTTTTGGCCCCAGACATTCAGCTGTCAGCATGGAAGAAACAGACATGGCCCCATTTCTAATTCCCAAACAGCAATCAGTGTTCCACACCTTCATCTTTCTCTTATTGGATTTCTCTCCTATTGATTTTCTCTTTTAATTTCCCTGCTTTTCCCTTCCTCCCACCTTCCAGAACAATGAAGGAGGGGTGATTGCTCAGCTCCCCAGTGATGTTACATCCTTCAACCAGACGGGTCTGAAGCCTGGGGAGGAATACATTGTCAATGTGGTGGCTCTGAAAGAGCAAGCCCGGAGCCCCCCTACCTCGGCCAGCGTCTCCACTGGTGAGTGTCTCCAGCTCTTCTCCCTGTAGCTACCTATTAGCTCACTCACGAAACAGAACTGCAGAAATCTCCCAAGAAGTAGAGGGACAAAAGAGGTACTAGGATTCCTCCCAGAGCTGAGAGTGATTTTGGTACCCTAGAGATGGAGCTACTTTACCAGATGCTTAGCTGAGCATCTTCCCAACTGCTCATCCTTGCAAGCCCAGAAATCTAGGAGTGCATTCTCCAGTGTAATTCATCTGATCTTACTTATCAAGAGACCTCATTCGTCAGTCCCTAGTGTCATGAGCTTTGGAACCAGCAAGAGTTGACTCACTGCTCACCTATTGTGATATTTGGGGAAAGCCACCTAAAACCTTCCCAAGACTCAATGAAGAAGAATAATGAGAAACAATAATACCTCCTTCATTGAGTTGATACAAGGATAGACATGATTAACCCTATATTGATGAGAGTGAGTGCCCAATATTTGGAAACTGCACATATATACCCAGAGAACACACTTAGAAGTAAAAGCAGTAGGAAATGAATCATTCAAAACCAGGAGGTGTAGGTTTGGCCAATGTTCAAGGTGACAACTTAAGTTGATGACTGTTTCATCCCCACAGTTCATCTCATTCATGATCATTATATCTCCAGGTTTGATTTACCAAATGGATAGTATTTTTCCTTCTTGTTTCCTTATCTAACAAAGGATGTTCAACTTCAATGCTGGAAATGTGCAATTGTGATGCGTGTGTGTGTGCCCTCACCAAGAATTTTTCGAAAGTTATAAATGGCATCTGTTATCACCCTTGGTCACCATTTTATTGGTGGGAGAGCTGAGACTCGGAAGTTAAGCAATTTTCCACATCAATGACAGGCATTGAGATAGGTGCATATAGGTACAGCTTTATTTTTCATAAACAGAAATTGACACCTAAGGAAGCCCATCTTGAGTCTAGGACAAAAAGCTGACTTGACTGAAAGAGGAAGCCACACCACTGTGTAATGAGACTATGTTTATGTATTAGTGGTTCATACGCTGCCACTCGGATCCAAACTAAACAGCATCAGGTGTTGAGGCTTGTGCTCAGTGTAGAAAGTATTGGTTGAAAACTATTGTGGCATCTGTTTGTGTTCCATTAAAGCCCTAGGGTTCATCCAACCAGGGCAGCTCCACTTTTGTCTGTTTTATATTTTGTATAGACATTTAAGATTTTGTTATTTACAAAAAAAAAAAAAGTTTTACCAAGAAGCAAAAAAGCTTGAAAGCCACTCTTCTAATCCAAAAATGTTGTAGAAGAAATCTTAGTAGCCATGAAACCTCAATGTTCTGTAGGAATCTTTCCAGATGTCAATGGCCTAAGTTTTTCCACAGGCTTTGCTCCACGCAAAGTTATGCTTGAACCTGAAGAGTTGACATTTGATAATATATGTAGATTCCCCTCTTTTGATATGTAATAGTTTCTGGGTCTCCAAGTCATTCCTGTGCTTTGATATTAAGAAAAACAGCTAGAAGGAGAAGACAGTTCATGAAAGGGCAGAGAACATTACAGTTGTATAATGTTTTTCTTCCAAAGTATTAGGAGTACTTAGAGAAGGTAGTCCAACCCTGCCTCACTCTTATACTCAAACCACATGTTTACAAAATTTGCAATATTTTTTGGTTTGGAAGTTCCTTGAGATCGAAATTAAAAGTTACAGATCTAGAAATTTGTGGTAAGCTTAGGCAGAATTTTTTCAATTAAGGGGAAAAAAAAAAAAAAAAAAACTTTTCTAGTTAATATTTTGGCCTTGTGTGCAGTCATGAAGAAATGGAAAGAAAAACATTTATTCCAGTTTACTTTTTGAGTAGGACCTGTGTTTGTTTAGAAATTAGGGCTTAAGTTGAAAGAAAGCAAGTTGATGCTTCCTTGTCTGGAACGCAACATAACTACCAAGTGGCCAACCCAAGGGCAGAATCCAGGGGTGGCTACACAAAAGATGGCTGGCGCTCAGCCCTGTCTGCTGTTTTTAGGAAACGATTGTTTAATTATTTCCTTCTGCTGAGGTCTGACCTGCACCAAGTCTTCCCCCTTCTGTCCCTCCCCTGTGAAGCTCTGAGCCCTCATCAGGCATTCAGACTGGCTTCTTTCAGGCAGGCCATTTTGTAAACGCAGATTACAAGACCTCCTGCAGCTAGAGCTTTCCGAGCTATATAATCACAGTCTAATGTGGTCAATCCACTATGATTAGGTTCTTTGAATTTAAAGAGTTGAAGGACAAAAGCCTTATCTGCGCAGTTGAGTTTCAGTGACAACTTTTATTTTTTTCAAGAAGCTCCAGTACACTGAAATGCTTCCCCTTCTTTCTCATGGAAGAAGAGGGTCATCTATGCTTTCACTTACTTAGCACTGGTTTACTGAGTGCCTACGGTGTGCCAGGCGTTACTCGTATATAGCAGCTAGGAGGCCATTTCCCCCATTTCATAATTCAATTAAACTAAACCAAAAAGGCCTGAGTTATCTAAACTCACCAAACGCAGCATGCGAAAAAGACAACATGTGGATGTGCTCTGTTCAATCACATTACTGCCCAAATATAAAAAATGGGACTTCATTTTAACTCCAATACAGATGGCACCGATTTGGTCTGGTGATATTCATTTGGCTGGTGCTAGACCAAAAATCCTCAACTGTTTAGCAGAAAACAGGACTAGGCTAAACCCAGAAAGAGGGGGTGACTAGGGACAGACTCAACTCTGAAAAACGCTAAGGTCAGCTGAGACAGTCCTCAGGGAGACATCCGTTCTGGGGACAGAGTAGAAGGTGGTTCAGCAGAGGCACAGCCAGACGAGGGGGCAGAGGGGGGCACTTGCCACAGGTGCAAGTCCAAGGGGGCAGTAGTGGAGTCACTAGGGGGGGTGCACCCGGTGACACTGTCAGAGGGGGTGACACCACTCGGTTCAGATACGTCCAAGACCAAACTATGCAGAACTTGAGCTGCTCCAGAAAGTCCGTGCCCACTTCAGCCATGTTTTGACGCAGCTCTTTGCTGTTGCAGCTCTCAGTAACTGCTGGGTTGATTAAGCCGCCCTAAGGTGCCGCTCGTGCCACTGCTGTTGCAGCCGGGCGCCCCGGGAGCCCGCCTGTCCACCCGCCACCGGCCGTGATAGGGGCGGCAGGCGCGCTTGTCTTTTCCTTTCCACAGCAGCTATCAACGTCTGTTTACCTTGAAATTGGGGGTGGAGGTAGGAGTGTGCACAATTGAGAGATTGCCCCTGAGCACTCTTTACCCTCGCTAGGCCCCTGTGGTCCAGATGGTGGATTGTTTTTAAAAAAAAATCATGTCTTAGTCAAGACTTTGTGGTAATAAGGAAGAGAAACTTACTTAAACTAGCTGAAACAAAAGAGAGTTTATTGGAAGGACACAGAGTGTCTCATGGAACATCAAGGCCAGACGTCCATCTGGGCCTCATGAAAGATTTGAACCAGAAAATGGAAAGTCAGTAATCGAGTTACCCTCTATATCTTTGTGGAGGTACCACATGTTCACTCGTTTCTGCTTCTCTCTGCATATCTGCTCCATTCTCTCCTCTCTGTCCCTCTCATTTCCCTCTCTCTCTCTCTCTGTCTATCTTCCTCACTCCCACTTTTTTTCTCTCTCTCCGACCAGATAGATATTTTCTGTTTTTGTATGACTATGGTAGAAAATAGCCACCCCAGCCCTGGCTCCACATGGTCCAAAATCAACCAGAGTCTCTGGTTCTGATTCCAAATTCCTGAAGAATATTAACATTAATATTAATCAGCTCCAGCCAGAGGAGTGTATCACATAAAAATGCAAATATGGAGGCTAGGCCCACTCTTTTAGTCATTGATGTGTAATTCTCAAAGAAAGGCATGTGGGCCAAGCAGTCATCCTATGAGGAGCCGAGAACACCATTTTCTGTTCTCCTCACTAAGCCCTTTCTTTTTCTATTTCCCTTCTACATTCTCTCACCCTCTCCCCCACCCCATAAAAATGAAATTAGGATCTAATTCAGTATGAGTAGGACCCTAAGTGAGTGCTGGAACCATGGATGGCCAAGCACTATAGGAAATCAACCAACTTTTCTAGGGGAATGTCATTCCAATATGGTGACCCTCTCAGCTGCACAGTGCGACAGATCATGTTTATGGAATAGTGATTCATACTTTGGCACTTGGATCTGAACTAAACAGCATCAGGTGCTGAGACTTATGCTCAGTCTAGAAAACAGTGGTTTAAAACCATTGTGGCTTTGGTCCATGTTCCATTAGAGCCCCAGGGTTCCATGGCCGTGCCTCAAGGCAAGGATCAAGTGGAGATCCAGACCTGTAATTACTCTCTCCCATGCCCATGCATACACCCTCGAACCAGGGAAACTCCACTTTTATCTGTTTTGCATTTCACACAGCCATTTAAGATTTTGTTACTGTTTTTATAAAGTTTCAGAGGCTTATGAAAGACATATGCTAAAGAACCTTGAGGACCTGTGGGCACTTGCAGTGCCCTTTTAGCTCAGGAATGTGCAAGAAAAGATGAAAAAAACAAAAAAGAATGACCCAGAAAAGGCTTAGGTCTTTTTTTTTCAGAGGGGCAAGTTTCCCCAGAAGACATGTTTCATGTCTACAAGTGCAAATGTCTGCTGGGTTTTGGTACAGTCTTAGTGGCTGCGTTTGCTGGGTGGCTAGTATGGCTGAGTTGTGTCAACTTTTGGATGGTCATGGTGGCCTTTTTGGCAGCCGCAATGAAAGTTTCAGATGTTTAGACAGAGTTGGTCATGTCATAAATCTTTCTTCAGTGCTCAAAGAAGTTGAGAGCTAGGCAACAGGGCACACGACCAGAGGCTCCATGTGCAGTTCTCTGTCCCATTACCTTCAGACAAAATCAGTGCTCATTCTCTCAAGACAGTAAGTGCCCTTCCTCTCCCTAAACTATAAAATTCCAGCACTTGAAAACCACAGCTTGGGGAGAGAGGAATTAGATCAAGATTCAGGTGAACTGAGTTTCAGTCAGAGTCCCTGGGTGATACAAATGGTTAATGCACTTGGCTGCTAACCAAAACATTGGGGGTTTGAGTTCACCCAGTGGCAGCTCAGAAGAAAGGCCTGGCTATCTGCTTCTGAAAAATCAGCCATTGAAAACCCTGTGGAGCACGGTTCTACTCTGAGGTACATGGTGTCACCATGACTCAGAGTTGAATCTCTGGCAACTGGTGGTTTGGAGTTCCAGTGTCAGTTTCCCTATTGTCAAACTACGTGTCCTCAAGAAAGATACTTAATCTCACTGTGCCTCATTTTCCCCATCTGTAAAATGGGATAATAATTCTCATCCTCTCATTGATTGGCCAGGTGAATGTAAGGAGGAAGGAGAGAGCTGATGTTGAATGCTTATTTCTCAATCAAACTTTTATGTTCTATTTGATTCTTCTCATTCAGTCATTGATGGGCCCACGCAGATCCTGGTTCGAGATGTCTCCGACACCGTGGCTTTTGTGGAGTGGACCCCACCTCGAGCCAAAGTCGATTTCATTCTCTTGAAATATGGCTTAGTGGGTGGGGAAGGTGGGAAGACCACCTTCCGGCTGCAACCCCCTCTGAGCCAATACTCAGTGCAGGCCCTGAGGCCTGGTTCTCCCTACGAGGTGTCGGTCAGTGCAGTCCGAGGGACCAATGAGAGCGATCCCACGACCACCCGGTTTACAACAGGTAAGACTGTGGAGGCGGAGAAACTTGGAGCAGAGAGGGTGTGGAGTCAGCTCGTGGCATCATCATGACAAGAGGAGAATTAAGGAAATGAGATGATGTGTACTTGGGCATAAATGTTGCCACAGATGCGGCCAGAAGGAAGCAAGAGGTTTCAGGCCTCCTGGTGATGTTCACATCACAGTACAGAGGAAGAAGCAGTGCACCAGTGGTAAGGAGCACAACGTTCTAGTCTTGCCTCGTCCACCAGTTAGCCTGGTATAAGTCCCGTCTCCCTTGGAGGTCTCATGTTTCCCACTCGTAAAATGAAAAATTTGTCTTGAAGACGTTTTTAAGCATTCATGCTGCTAATCCAAATGGCAATTTTGTCAGAGTTCAGAAGAGGTGCCCCCTTCCTCAAGACATTTAACTGTTACTTGCTAGAAATCATTGTAATAATTATATAAATCTATAATGACTACTGCCAAACCCACCAGTGGCTCTGCGGGAGAAAGATGTAGCAGCCTGCTTCCGTTAAGACTGACAGCCTTGGAAACCCTATAGGGCAATTCTGCTATGTCCTATAGGTCGTTATGAGTCAAAATTGCCTCGACGGCAGTAGGTTTGGGTTTTTTTATAATGACTACCGTACCGTGATAGGGCCCCCTGGAGCTGTGCAAGGCACAATCTATACAGCCATCAGCAGACCTTCCAACTGAGAGTCTGTGTCTCATCCTCCCATTTGAAAACACTAGCAACAAGGCTCAGTTTGAGACCCTGATCCCCAGAGACAGGGAGTAAGGCCCCTATCTGTACCTCCTGCCTTGCTATCATGACCACTGCTCTTCTCTTCCCAAGGCTGTTGGAACTTTTAAAGAGCTTCACCACCAGTCTGGAAAGGCTAGACTTCAGGGTGACTTGCGCCCTGGCCCTCACGGAACCCATCAGTCTGGCCAGCTGGTGGGCAAGGAGGACAGAGACCATCCAAAGGACAGGTTTCCTGGCACTCATCTTGGGTCAACAGGGGCCTGCTATCAGAGAGTGAGGTCCCTATCTAACCCAGATTGTCTTGACTTCTCTGTCTTGGGAAAATCACATATCAAGGAATGTTTCTGGCAACTCCAAGTTGTCCCAGGGATCAAAGGAAACTGATAACGTCTGTCAGATCTAATAACCAGCTTCTTCTGGACTGGAGTAAAGGAGAATCACTACTTCAGGCATCCAATGAATAAATAAAGCTAAAAGTAAAATAGACGGAGGCCAAAATGTCTCCCCAGTTTGGAGCATGTAGCTTAGCGTTAGAACCAGAAGGGCTTGCAAACGGTACCCCATAATTAGACTCACCCACTGGGGCAGTTCACTGAGGGCATTATGAGTCAAAATTGACTCGACGACACGAACAACAGCAATAAGAAACCCAGCGAAAGGCCACTGTGGACTTGGGCAAGTTGTGGAACTACTCAGGTAGGATTTACAGCATGGAGGAACAAGCAGAAGGCCTTATCCCTGGGGGTGGTCCACTCTGTGAGACGGGGAGAGGGAAAGGTGGTACAGAGCTCACCATTGAGTTAAGCCCAGATTCCCTAGCGTAAGAAGAAATAGAGAGGTCAGGAGTGTTACAGTAGGGTTCCCTCCACACAGAAGGAAACACTGAGAGAGGGGAAAAAAGCTTCCCCCTTAAAAGGGAGCAAGTGTAGACAGTGACATGATGGAGAAGGCAGAGTTTGACTCTGAATGAGACCCTTTTGGGTTTTCTCTCTCACCACTAGGGGGTACTGGTCAGATTTTTCTACTGAACACATTTTGGGATCCCCAGTGATTGACTGGAGTCGCTGGATGGTGCAAACAGTTAAGGCACTTAGCTGCTAACCCAAAGGTTGAAGGTTCCAGTCTACCTAGAGGTAGCTCAGAAGAAAGGCCTGGCCATCTACTTCTGAAAACCAGCCATTGAAAACCCTAAGGAGCACAGCTCTACTCTGACATACATGGGGTCACCATGAGTCAGAGCCACTCGATGGCAACTGGCTAGTGGCTGAAAATGGAACTAAATTCTGTCCATTTCTCTTCCCTTCTCCTCCCTCACTTGGCCAACAATGTTCTGAGCAGAGCACGAGAAGGGAGCGCGTGCAACGTGCCTGCTTGGTTTATTCCAAGGTCATTCTTTCCTCCTACATGCCCCCACACTCCCCACACCCGGCTTGCTCAGGATGGTGGTATCTCCTGTGGACCATGAGTCCTGCATTCTTTCCTTAATTTCAGGACAGTTTTTGTTTGAAAAGTAGTTTCTTTGTGCTTTGCTCAGATAAGGAGTTTGAAGAGGCAAAACAGAGAGCTCTCCAGCAGCCTGATAAAAAGCAATTTCTTGATGTTTAGGCCGACAAGATGGAAGCAGGATTGGCTGGTGGCCCAGGAAAATTCCAATCAAGACAATTACATTCTGCCTCCTAGAAGCTCCCCCTGAGTTTCAGTTAGTTCACTGCTGCGGGTTCTCTTTCCAGTTGCCTTGCGGATTGGCAGCTGTTAGGCAGCTGCCTTCTCTATGCAGCCTCTGCTTGTGCACCTCAGCCCCGCTGCCGTCTGCTGCAGGAGGGTTGGGGAGTTACGGATGGTTTTGCATACAAACTCTCAGGCCCGGGGTTGGCAGGTGCCAGCTGAATGATGAGAGGGTGTCCGGACCCTCACGGTAGAGTCCTCAGTCATTTCAGAAGTCCACTTAAATTCAAATTAGCCAAAGTGCTTTTCCAGGTGATGGCTTCCACACTAGGAGCGCACTAATGGCACAGGCAGTTAAAACAGAGATTTGCTTCCTGCATGGGGAGAGGGATATTTGCCTGGATCTTAGAGCCGCTTTGGAAAAGAAATGAGCCCTGATTGGAGCATGCAAAGGCCAGTGGTTGGCCAGTCTCCAAATCCCCAGTCTGCCCCCAGCCACTCTGGCTTCGGTCACCCTCAGTGGGGAGCCCCAGTGACAGTTTCTCCATCGGCACCAGGACATTCAGCCAACCACATTCAGCCAACCAGAGGCCACTGCTTTAACCGGAATGCCCCAGACCAAACCTCCCGTTAATGTGCAAATCCCAACAGTCCAAGCTGCTACCTGCTCCCCAGTCGTCTCTGGGATTTTCCAGGGAATGCTTTCACAAACTCAACCTGGATGGCCCTTCTTACCCCAACCAAGATTCTGGCTTCAGACAGCAGAGGGGAGCTTCCTGCCCTGGTAAGACCTACTTCCTTCAGTCAAAGCTACTCTTCCCCTGCTCTGCCTCACCCCAAGCATCGTCAAAGCCCTACAGCTAAAATACTTGACAAGGCTTTTCTAACGGCTTTGAGGTAGCCGACTAAACAGAGAATTGACAATATTCACTCAGTCACTTCACATATGTTTATTGAACACCTACTAGGTGCTCAGCACAGTACTAGGCGCTGCGGCTGCAGAATAAACAAGATATACAGGATCTCTGTTCTCAGGGAGCTAGCTATATTCCAGTGGGGGAAAGTGGACAATGAAGAAGAAAACAAATAGATAAGATCACTTCCATCATGAGTGTTATCTGGGAGGTGAAATGGATGACATAGAGGGAGGGAGGCTACAATGGAATGAGTGATTCAGAAAGGCCTCTCTGAGGAGGTAACATTTTAGCTAAAAGGTAAGAGACCCAAGCCATGTGAAGTTCTGGGAACAGCATTCCAGGCAAAGGCGGTAGCCAGTGCAAAGGCCCTGAGGTGGGAATAAGCCTGATGTGTTTTAAGAGTGGAAAAAAGGCAGTATGGCTGGATCACAGTGAATAAGGGTGTAAGTGATACAAGGTGATGTCTGAGAAGCAGATAGGGCTAGATTATGCAGGTCCCTCCCTGCAGGCTACCATAAGGAGTTTGGATTTTACTGTAAGCCCAACAGGAAGCAACAACAAAGTTTTAAGCCGGGGAACTAGATGATCTCAAAGTTGGCGGTTTGAGCCACCCACCCCCCGCCCCCAGAAATGCCCCGGAAGAAAGGCCTGCAATCTACTCTGGACATTGAAAACTGTATGGAGCATAGTTCTTCTCTGCAACACATGGGATCATCATTGAATTGACTCGATGGCAACTGGTTTGTTTTATTGTTTTTTGACCCACGGGGCACCAGAGTGTATCTTGCCCTCTGACCGAAGAGAAATGAAAAAACAAAAACCATAGTCGGACATGTCTGAGGTCGGTGGGGTTTAGTTGTGAAAAGTACTATGTACAAGATTCAGCCTTAATCCCAACCGTAACCCTGACTTCTTTTTGCTCCAGTCTGGGCCACACACCCCACGCCCAGTCTTACCCCTTTGCCCAGCCTCTCTTCCCCATGTGAGGGTCCAGGGTGTCCCTCCCACAGGCCTCAATGCCCAGGCTCCTCTCTCCATCCAACAACTGCTGGAAAAATAACACACACAGCTCATCCAGAAGGCATACTATCCTCATTGACTAAGGAAACGTTTCTCAGAAAGACAAGCTGCAGAGACATAAATCTGCTAAAAGATTCGCCCAATTTACATCACTAAACAGAACACTTCTCAGTCCAGAGCATTTGCATTCAGATTGAGTCACAGAGTTCCAATCTCCTCAAGAACAATTGGTGGATACTTGCCTTGCATTTGCAAATTAAAACTGTCCACTGGAGGTTTCCTCAGAACAAATGGCTTGTCCACTCCAAAGTTAACTTCAGGTCTCAAAGACAAGACCTGTTTAGAACTTTTTAAACAGCAGATTTTCACCACAGCACCTCATGATACTGCAGGTTGTTTAAGTTGCAAAGATGGTCAGTCCTGGGAGAGGGAAGCAGCCCCAGGCCTGTGAGAGAGTTCCTGAGGCCAGTGGTCATGGCATTGGAAGACCAGAGAGCAACCACTGGGGTACCATGCTGTGAGAATTCAGCAAGAGCTTCGGAGGCAACAGGAAGCCAGCCCAGTGCCTGGGCACCTATTTTTGCACCAGGCACCATGCTGCACACTTCACATGCATTGTTTAATCTGTGCAACAGTCCGAATTGGTGGTATGATTAGCCCATTTTACAGATGTGGACATCAAGGACCAGTGAGGTCAGAAGATTTGCTCATGGTCACATCCCAGTTACCGACAGAGCTGAGGCTCGAACTGAGGTCTGACTGCAAGCCCATAGTCTTTCCACTGCATTTCATCTCCTGTATGTTTAATTTTTCTGTGTCTAAGCAAGGAAACTCATGCAAAGACAGTTTACACTTCAAAATTTGAAATCAACTGTCTTCTTTTTGCTCGATGTTCAATTCTGATATTACTCTCTTCTCGTTTAACCTCTTGGGAGCTTTCTCTGATTTTCTCCTACAGGTTTTTCCCTTGCTTTGTTTTCAACTTTGTGAGATTAATTAGTTCATTTTAAACTTTCTAGCACACCCCTGGAACTCTTGAATGGAAATGAGGGCAGTGTGAAGTGTGTTCATATCTAACTCCCAAGTAAAACTCTCTAACCTGCCCAAGGAATTTGTCCCGGCTAACCTGCCAGATGGGGCATTGGTGGTTCAGTGGTAGAATTCTTGCCTTCCATGCAGGAGACCCAGGTTCAATGCATCTCATGTGCAGCCGCCACCCCTCTGTCAGTGGAGGTCTGTGCATTGCTATGATGCTGAATAGGTTTCAGCAGAGTTTCCAGTCTAAGATGGGCTAAGGAAGAAAAGCCCAGTGATCTACTTCCAAAAATCAGCCAGTGAAAACCGTCTGGATCGCGATGGTCCAATCCCATTGTTCATGGGGTCGCCGTGAGTCAGCTGACTGGAGGAGAGCTAACAATAACAACAACCCAGCTAAGGGGAAACTACAGGGTTCATTCAAATGTAAAGCAGAGTCCAGAAGTGTCTGTTCTTACCCGAAAGCTTTTAAAGTTCAAGATGCATGACAAATGTACATTCTCCTATGTGATGCTGGTGATGTCTGACTCTTTTTAGAGATTGATGCCCCTAAGAACTTGCGAGTTGGTTCTCGCACAGCAACCAGCCTTGACCTCGAGTGGGACAACAGCGAGGCAGAGGTCCAGGAGTACAAGGTTGTGTACAGCACCCTGGCGGGTGAACAGTACCATGAGCTCCTGGTCCCCAAGAGCACTGGTCCAACCACCAGAGCCACTCTCACAGGTGAGTGAGCCCTGTTTCCTAGGGGCACATAGGTTGCTGAGTCTCCACCCTCACATCTCTCTCTCCAACCCACCCACCCCACATACATCCAAACCATTGCCAGATCACATTGATTTAATCTCCTAAGTACCTATCAAATATGTCTAGTACTCTCTCCATCTGCACTGCCGTCACCGTTCTAAGATACTATCATCTCTTGTCTGAACCACTGCAATAACCCCCTGCATTCTCTCTTGCTCCCTCCTAATTTAGTCTTCACACCATCAGTGGTCTATTCAAAGTGCTTTTCTAATTATGCCATCCCATGGTGCATACATCTCAGGAACTTCCCGTTGCTTTTAGAATAACACTGCAAAGCCATAGCATGGGCCACATGGCCCTGCATGATTTACCCCCGCCTTCTTCTCTAGTCTCACCACCCACCTGCTTCCCCAGGTGCTGTCAGTGCTCCAGGCCCACAGGACCTCAAACTCATCTTCCCTCCTGTCACAGAGCTTTGCACAGACTCTCTCACCCACCTCCTGTACCCAGTTAACATGTGCTTCCCTTTTAGCTCTCAGTA